TGCCTTCTAGACGATGAAACCTGTCCCCCTAATATGAACGTCCCCTTTTTTCTTGGTCCCAAAATGTGCCAAGTATATGTAATTCCCCTGCTAAACCATTGTATCCGGTGTTTAATATTATCGTAGGGGAAATCGAGGGCATAAAGTCACATGTATAGATATTTCATTAAACAAATATAGATTGATAAACATATCATGAGTCACAAGAAATAGCTCTTCCCAAAGCTGAACTCAGTCAAACTACTGGCCGGCCAAGGGGGCGCATTACTTGAAATGATTGAGCTGTAATGATCTGAACCGTGTTTGATAGTGCAATTGTTTTAACCAGTCTTCTCTGGAAACATGTCCTGTATGGGGTTGTCTCAAATCTTGAAACCACAATTGCGCAGCTTATCATCATGTTTCACACCAAAATTGTAACTTTGGGAAGACAAACCTATGCAAGGTATAATCATAAAAACTATATATGTTTTGGATGTGTAAATCACCATTTAATTGCTGGTTAATTAAACCACCAAAAATGCAGAATCCTATAGTAATTCTTTATACTAATAATATGGAAGATGTATGGATTATCAACTATCCACTCAATCCCATTTCAGTTGGTTAGATACATACGAATAATTGTTCATACTAGTATGGAATGGCATGGATATCAACATCCTGATATCCTTCTGTTCAAACCAATATAGCTGGGATTTCCGGATGTTCATACCCTCAAATGTGCTGAACAGCTTTTTTTACCCCCAAAAAGTTGCAGAAAAGTCATGGATTTTCCCTATTTTGGAATCAGATGTTCCTTCCCTATCACCCTAATGGGTTGTGACTCCCATCACCCGGTGTTGGATCAGATGGATTCGAAGTAAAAATGGGGGCAGGGCATACAGTATCCCCATGTTGTTGTGAATAAATGGTAATTACCGTTAAGATTCTTAATCATAGCATTTACTGATCCCTGTCTTGGGTATATTATTGATCAATAAGATAATATTAACTGTACTATGATGACATATGACATATATATAATTCCAACGTATTGGGTATAAATAACTCTAATCTTAGACCCCATGAGGTTAAATGGCGAGTCAAAACCTATATGATTGCTATTTATTGCTATATTTTGGGGAGCTAAACCATCCAGCTGTTCACCAACTATTTGTATATCCATCCTCCTAAACCATCCAATTGTTCCATTTTTTGGTGGAAATCACCATCCATTCACCAAGGATTTCTTGGATACCTAGGGGGTCCATGAAGGATCTACCCTCGGCCAAGAAGCTGATCCCAGTTGAGCGTGTCCACCACGTCATCCAGGGCCGCTTTGCCTGGAGCCTAGGCATTGTCAGTGGATGAAACCATCCATGGATATATATATATATATAATCCCAGTAGTGTATGGTTAATGATGGTTAATGGTTAATATATGGTTAATGTCAATGTATGATTATTACATGGTTAATGATTTAATATATGGTTAATGTATGGTTATTATATGGTTTATGATGGTTAACAATGATCTGGTTGGTGGTTTTAACCATCTTGAAACATATTAGTCAATGGGAAGCATTATCCCATATGTTGTGGAACAATAAAACATGTTCCAAACCACCAACCATATATATATAACATGATATTACCCATATATATCTATTGATGTATAAATTCTGTATTAATGTTGTACATATATAATATTATATAACTTATAACATGATATTACCCAATAACAATAATAACTTATATTCATATATTCATATATGTATCCATCTATATATAGTTGTATAATGTAATGCATATAAATATATATAAGCCACATATGAGTGGGGTATAATATGCTAATTACATGTTTATTACATGCTATTGCATGTTCGCGACAGACCAAACGCTCGCCAACCCTAACACCCAAACAAAGTTCTGCGTTTGCCACCAGAGGATGAACGAAAACACCGGCTATACGGAGTGATTATTTTGACCTGAAGTTTCCGGGATTTTAGGGTTTGACGGTTTTTGAAATTCAGGTTTTTGGTTCCATATTTTGCTGGGATATTCCCTTACATAGGCCTAAAAAATAGGCCTTATATTAATGGTAGGTAATTATACCTCTAATCAATCGGTTCCTGAGTCATGGCCATTGATCTGAAATGCTGGCAGTAACTGGGATGCACCCCTCAAATATATGCCAGAACAGCACCCCCTAAATAGGTAGAACATTGGAAACTTGGAACCCTCTGGGAAAACATCGTCTATGACATCCTAGCAAAGCTGTTCTATCTTTCCAGGTCCCCGAAAAAAACATAATCATCACGAGATAGATATTCCAAAGGGAATAAGGCGAATAAGGCATCCAAACGATTCACAGACGATTCAAATGGGTCTTGATTCACTTGATCCCCAATCTTTTTTCCAAACGCAGCGGGAATGAGTTCTGAGTTGCTCAGGATGTCTTGAAGAATTTCCAGCCCCACCAGTCTGCTGAGGGTTCCGTGCCATAGAGGACCCGATACTCTGCGAGGCGTCTCTGTAGAGTCTGGCCCCAGCCCGCACACTCGGACTTCTTCCATACCGCAGAAACGTAGATCGACAGGTCAAAGCGTGGAGCCTTCTTCAGCTCTTTGCTGAAACTGCTGGAAGGAACAGGTCCCCATCCTGGATACTTCACGTTGGTGTCTAAGTCGCAGGGTGCGGCATCTGGATGTGACTGCACCCAATGCTCAAAGGCAAAACGATTGGACCCGACGCAGAGTTCCAGTTCAGTCAATTGACCATATGGCACGTCCAACATGTCCTTGTCAAAATTCCGAGGGTCTTTCAGTTTGGCAACGTAGCCGCAGCGCGCAGCCCACATATTTCCAGGTGTTTGCGCGTATGGTATGGGAGTCATTCTCGTGGAACAGATATTACAGTCTTTTGGCATCTGAAGGCATTCCTGAGACAAAGCACCTTTTGTAAGATAGGCACGTTTCTTGGCGTTTTTGCCACGTCTCTCATTATACGATCCCTTGGAATGCAAATATACCACCAGCTGATCCGGGTCGGTGTCCTTTTCCCGGCAGAAGGACCAAAGATCATGCAGCGTAAGATCCTCCCAGCCTTGGGCGTAGTGTGCCATTAAGTTGGTCCGCTGTTGCAGTTCTGATGACAGATTGAGATCAGAAACTGTCACTGGAGCACCAATGGAATTGATCCGAATGTCTTTGTCCGTCACATCTTCGATCATGGAGAACTGCTCCTTCACCATCAGTGCAACTCTGGGAATATCTTCGGCAGTCCCTATGAAGAGGTTATAAAACATCACCGCTCCAAAGCGCATCTGTTGCTCCGATCGCTGGGTCGAAACTGTCTGAAGCAACGAGCCTTCCTCGACCTTCGAAGCCCCAAGGGCCAACAACAGCGCAGTCGCGATCAGGGACGGCATTGGTCCGGCTGCCAACGTTTCAAACAAACAATTCCAACATATATTCGAACATTTTATGAAGTGCTCGATTTCGACTTGAGCCAAGAAGTGATGATAATTGGATGGTACTGGAACATTTCAGTACAGACAATGAGGTTGTGATGTAGATTCCCTGCTCAAGACAAATGTTTGTTGGTCATATCCCTCCCGTCACGCATCGTCATGTTGTTGTTATATTGTACCCCCCCGTATGGTGGTTGAGCCACCCATCACAATGCTCATTCTTCGCCACTATGGAACGTACCAAATATTTGAATCCATCAGATGGATGCGGGTCAACAACCCCTTTCAGCCCAGTTGGTTCCTCCAAACATGAAGAAACCAGACTATAGACATCTATAGACCATAGTGTAGACCACATAGACTACATTCACGTCTTCATTTGGCCAGTTTTTGGATGTGTGGCTGGTCTGTTTATAGCTTCTTACCCATCAAACATGAAAAATACCCTCTGGTAATTTAACATAGCTGTGGAAAATCACCATTTTTAATGGGTAAATCCACTATAAATGGCCATGTATAGTGAGTTTTCCCATTAAACATGACATGGTGATTTTACATAGTTTTTTTGTATGTTTACAAGAGGGTAATGAATCAAACCTTTTCGGTCAGAATCATGACGATCGATCCGTTTTTCTGAGGCATCCATCTGTGAGCGACTGGAACATCAAGTGACATGATTTAAAAGATATAATTATCCCAATGTAACTTGGGATTGATGAATATTTTTTCATCAATCACTATCCCAATCTGTTTAACCATGTTTTTGTTGATGTTTTTTTTTAATTGGCAAAACAAACCAATCCAGCTTGACATCATGCCCTCGAAACAAACATCAAGCTCCGGCCTTGGGTAGGATGATGGTCGCCAAGGTTTGGCGATCGTTGTAGGGCAGTTGAAGTGCTTGGTACTTGGGCATCTCAGTGTAGCCGAGCTTTTTCTCCTGAAGGTGAAGCAAACATATATGGGAAGATCATGGGGGTTGGCCAGCAATAGATGTATATATATATATAATTATATAATATATTATATATTATATATTAGATATTATATATTAGATATTAGATATTATATATTATATATTATATATTATATATTATATATTATTATGTTATATATATTATATTATATTATATATTATATATTGTATATTATATATTATTATATTATTATATTATTATATTATTATACTATTATATATTATATATTATATTTTATTATATATTATATATTATTATATATTATATATTATTATATATTATATAATTAATTATTATATATTATATATTATATATTATATATTATATATTATATATTATATATTATATTATTATATATTATATATTATATTATATATATACATATATATGTACTATAGGCCACTTGTGTGGTCAATATTGAGATGGTCAATAAATGTCAATAGTCATAACCCAAAATTGAAGACTCACTCAAAAATGTGTGGATATTTTTGGGACCCACCATGATTTTGATGAACCATCCAACAGCACAAGAGAGATCTCAAGCCACCCCGATCAAAATGCTGCGCCGCTCAGAAGAGATCCTTCTTGAACATCATATCGCAGGGAAGCTTCGCGTCAAAGCCTTGAAAGAAGCCATTCGAGGTCAAGTCACTGTTGAAGACACTTGCCTCGACCAAAGGTCGAGCTGCCACTGCTCAGATTTGCTTCAACGGAGGTGGACATCACCTGAAAAAGTAGCCATTATAGACCATATACCGATTTTGGTTGGGTGATGTTCAATGGGGACATTTAATGACCCATGATAAAGATTCATGAGCTTCAAAGCTCACCAGTCATCAACTTGCTATCGCATCCGATCATAGTTTCAACTATCTTTCTGGCTACTGACCGTGTTTTGTCTTTGTCTAGTTGAGCCAACTTCACTGTTTGACAACTTTGGCCAAAATCCGTCAAGAAAACACACCAACAATGGGATATGTTCAAACCACCACTGGAAAGTACCCCCAAACAGAGCATTTCTCGGTGGTTGCAACCCATCCAAATCGTAGGGCTAACATGTCGGATACTGAGGTACTAAAACCAGTGGATGGAATGGGGGTTCCGATTTTCCCTAATTTTTTTTAAAGCACCAATCACACATTATATAATTACCAAACGCATTCTGACTTTGCATGTTCCATATATAATTGGGTTATGTGGTGGCTATTAAAACACCCCTGTTGAAATGATATACTATTGACACATTTGATTTGATGATCACTGAATATCAGCATCTTGTGGTCTTCTTCCCACGTTTTTTTGCCCAACGATTTCGAAAAAAAGAAAAAAAACAGAAGGCTGCGCCGGGTGACCCAAGATCCTTTGAAGAAGATGGTGTTCACCAGGACCAGGACCTCCAATTTGGTCAGGATTGGAGGGAAGTGAAGACATTCATAGAACTCTGTGATGATGTATATGGGTAATGAAAATGATTGCTATATATGGCAAATACATGGTACAATACATGGTAAAATATATACTGCCCCAAAGATAGAGTGCCTGTGGATGTACAACCAACTTTGGGACATCATTCTGAGGATATAGCCCATTTCTCGAGAAACATTTGGCTGTTTAAATGCAGGGCCAAAGGCTGTATTCAACATTATGTAACTAGGGCAACTAGGGATCGCAAGCAAAGATACTTGGAGCCACCAAGCAGAATGGGACAGAATGTCAGAAAAAACATATAAAGCATTGAAGCGAAGTATGTATCTTGTTCTTGCAGGGAATCCTTGTCTTTTTCCCAGAAATGGGATCATCACCACCCCTGCCGCGGAGACTCTTCGGCCTTAAAAAAAGGCCTCATTTAACTGATTGCTTTATCATTTAATATCATTTATATATGGCACCAAAAAAAATAAAAAGATGGGCATCAATCCATACCCAGGGTGCAGCTGAGCAACGGTCAATGGATCTAGCTGCCCTGAAAAGAGTTCAGGGATCCTCAGCGAAGACATGCTAAGTCGACTGGAGACGTATTGATAGTTCAGGGGTGAACTGTACCTCACTGATAACACACAAAAAGGAATGTGAATTAAGATGAGATCACTTGTGATATCTCTCGATCTATCCATCCATCCATCCATCCATCCATCCATCCATCAATATATCTACTTATCTTATCTTATTTTATTCTCTTTATATCTATCTCTATATACACAATATATATATATTACTGTATGTGTGATATATCCAGATGAACTACAATAATTCACTGACCGGAGAAAACCGGCCATTTTGGGATAGTTACCCCAATCCTAACCATCATTCCAGTGAATCCACAGTGAGGTCGTTGGGGGATAGTCTGTCATGGTGAAAAAAAGTCATAACAATTACAATCAACAAAATCCAATGGAACGATATGGAACGATACCACAAAAAAAAATGCATTCCAAGGTAGCTGAGAGTTTCTGCGGAGAAAGGATGGGAAAACATAGCTTTGAAATGCTTTTAATCTGTCATGAAATGTGACTTTCAACAAAATGGCAGCTCATCAAAATCATCAAAAACCATCATAAAATCATCAAACACCAAGTGTCAATCCGATTTCATCATCAAAAATGTTGGTCCAAAAAATGTCAAACACCAAGATCACCAAAAGATTCACCAAGTGTCAATCCCTGCGTCTTGGAACTGACCCATTTGTTGATGGGTGCCGGATCACAGCTGGGAAGCGTGAGGGCCTCTGCGCTGAAGTCCGCCTTCATGGCCTCGCGTGGAAGGGGAAGGGGAAGGGATGGGGATCTGACAAACGAAGGAGGTTTGAAGTGAAAAACAATGGAAAATGGAGGATTGAAATTGTTTAATCAGCAAAAAAAGGCGCGATTTAAGCAGCAACAATTCAGGTTTAACTAATTAAAATTGTGGTGTTTAACCAGCAAAAATTGGAAATTAACAAACTAAGGAGGATTTCGCAAGGAAATGCAGTCCTCGCCAGGTATTGGAATCGACAAGGCACCGACATAACGAACTGTTCAATCGCCAGAAGATATTGGTTGCATAGAGACATAGGAGAGACAAACCAGTTACTGTAAGCAATTATAGTTGATGATTCTTTGTACCTTCATTAATTAGTTGGTTTTGGTTTTAAATACCTACGGCTTCATGTTTATGGTTTGATTCATAGGGACATCGTTCTTGGTTGAACCCCCCCTTCGTTGCTTGTAACAATCATTAACCGCATCAAAGATTCCCACAAGTAATGGATATCCCTCTTCCAATGATCAAACAATACATCCCCAATCAATTCTTGGTATGCCAGAGAAAAAAGAAAATGTGACTGAATATATATATATATATATATAGATACTATATTATATACATTGCATTATCTAAAGAAAACCAACAACAGCAACAACAACAACAACTACTACTACTACTACGACCACTATTACCACCACTACTACTACTACTACTACTACTACTACTACTACTACTACTACTACTACTACTACTACTACTACTACTACTACTACTACAGTACTACTACTACTACTACTACTACTACTACTACTACTACTACTACTACTACTACTACTACTACTACTGCTACTACTCCTCCTCCTGCTAACTACAACTACAACTACAACTACAACTACAACAACCACAACAACCACAACAACTACAACAACCACAACAACCACAACAACCACAACAACCACAACAACCACAACAACCACAACAACCACGACAACCACGACAACCACAACAACCACCACCACGACAACAATAACAACGACAACAACAACAACAAGGACAGCAACAAGGACAGCAACAAGGACAGCAACAAGGACAGCAACAAGGACAACAACAAGGACAACAACAAGCACAACAATAAGGACGACAACCACCACCAACACCACAACAACAACAACAGCAACAACAGCAACAACAGCAACCAACAACCAACAACCAACAACCAACAACCAACAACCAACAACCACCACAACAACAACACCAACACGAACAAGAACACAAACAATAACAAGAACACAAACAATAACAAGAACAAGATTAAGAACAATATTAAGAACACTATTAAGAACAACAACAACAACAACAACCACAACCACAACCACAACCACAACCACAACCAACAACCACCACCACAACAACAACAACAACTGCTACAACTACAACTACGACTACGACTATCAATAGCATCTTTGGAGATCTTTGGAGTATCATTTAAAAGGGACACATGATGGTCCACCATGACATGCTGTTTTTCCCGTAAAAAAATAATCAGAGAAAAACCCAACAAACCATACCACTATGTTGGTAGGTGTTACCCAACACTATCAACAAACACTTAGTTACCCTAGGGTGGATGGACCAGCGAAATCCTGCACCACCAATTTGGGATGGTTGAAACCCGAACGAAATAATGGGATTAACCAGAGTAACCACCTACCAACTGGTGATTTGGATTTCGCTGGCCCATCCACAGTAGGGTAATTACCCGCATAGATTCGTGGAGTTTATCCACCATGAATGTAGATCATTTTCCTGGGATGTTCCAAAAATTGGTTTTAAGCACATCTTTTTGTATCTTTACTCCAGGGTACAATAAACCTCGTATTAAAGATGATCCCCCCTCACGTGATCAAACCTCAGGCAATGGAAAATTGCTCATTTATAGAAGATTATATATCCCACTAAAAACTCTGCTGAGTGCGGGGATTTCCCAGCCATGTTTCATGAAACCGGAAGGTACCTTTGATTAAAGCATGAAATACGACCAAAAACTGAAACAAAAACATACTTTGGAATGGTTCGGAAATCCTGCACCAGTGGGTAGATGCTTTAATCCCTATAATTAATCCCATTCACCATTCAAAAAATAGCTATTAACCACTATTTTTCATGGCTATGCACCACTGTTTTTCATGGCGATTAACCACTGTTTTTCACCATGGCCATGAACCCCATCCCATCCCATCTCCATCCAGTGCCTCAATGTACTCCGCTTTGATTCCGGCCTTGACCCATGCAGAGTTCGCCATCTCTGCACTGCCCAGAGGCACTTTGCGGATCGGCGCGCCAAGGACTTTCATCAGCTCCTGCGGGGTGGCTGTGACTCACCACCCGCCATGCGAAAATAATGGCGGTTTGATGTGAAAAAACAGAAAAAAAAAGATGGGAGTTCTGGATTGAACCAGAAAACTCCAGCAATGTGGATGTTTCTCCGTGGATTTAGAGGCGGTTTAATATCGTTGAATCGAACTAGGAGTGGAGACCTACAAAACTACGGGCCGCCTACTTGGAAGCGCATCCAAGTTAGTCAGTGCTGGATAATCCGGCGTTACCTACATACCGAGTGGGATGCACATCCATGCACCCTGTAAACAATCGGGGATTGATCATAAAAAATGGAGAAAAATGAGGGGAGTTCAAGTTAGCGAAACGAGCATGACATAGTGTGGTTGTCTGAAAAAATGGAAAGGTAGGCAGCAAATGATGGTGTTACTGGCCAGAAACAAACAGGGGTGGCCTCCAACATCTGGGAAAATCCAATGTTTCTGGTGATCGAATGGATGGGATGATAGGATGTACGATGGAGATGTAGATGCTGATGCGTTGGGTAGATATGTTTCTATAAGATTCTATGCATTCAGCAAACATTTCAAAACTAGACTACACCTTAATTTGCATGCATCCAAGATTATCCAAATATGAATGGAATGATGTGAGAGAATCTAGGGTCTTTGTTCAGATATGTGTGTGTGTATTGCACCATGCACTAGTGACAGAAATCTGGTGATTACCGTGATTCTAAGATGGCTGGAAAATCCTCCATTCACTTCGGGGACTTCCCGGACTTCCCAACTTTTATCCCATGTGTTTTCCCATGGGACACATGGGTGTCCCATGGTTTTGTTCAGGGATTTTCCAGCTTGCTATGTTCGTTTACACCATGATCCAATCTCCATGAGACTAAGAGTTACATACTGTAACACAGCTATGAATAATAGCCCATTTATAGATAATCTATGACAATCTACCTATTTAAAAAAATGGAGATGTTCATTGATTTCCCATAGTTATGTTGATATACACCTGGGATATTATGTATATATATATACATCATATTTTATAAAATATATAATCTGGAGATTAACCATAGACTATCCGGGCCAGTACACATCACTGTTCCATGATTGGTGCAAGCTGGATACATATGTAATCATATGTATATGGATTGTCTGAAAATTTGGTATCCCAAAATCAAAACTGCAATTTTGTGGTATACCGGTATACCGTATACATCATTTTGAGACACAAAACCCACATAATTCTTTGTGAAGGTGGTATATCCCCCAAAAAAATATTCCCATGTTGGTTCTATCGCCATAAACTAAACTGGTTGGTCAACATCTATAAAACTCCCATATTATAACCCTAGACTGCTTGGTGGTTTCTCGGAATCTGGAAGCCATGAAATCTCTATGCCGAACAGTTGGAAGCCTGGAAATTATCGGTGAACTATCATCGAACTAATTGGAAAAACGGTTCATATCTTTGGGGAGCCTTTCTAGCAGTTGGTAAATGTCCGGTTTCGGAGTTCTTTTTGACAATTGAAAAAGTATCTGGAGATGTATATGCCCTTTTTAGATGTGAAAAAAATCGGACATTTGCCAATCCCTGTTATATACCCCATAAACCTGGAAATTTTACCAACTTACCCTGCCTGTACGGGGTACCCCTAAATCCATTTTTCCATTAAAAACCAACCATTTTGGGAGCAAACCTCCATATGGCTTTCTCTGAAAATCAGAATACTCCTATAAATCCATTGGTTTATCATCATGTTTCCATCATTTTTCCATCATTTTTCAATCATGTTCCCTATCAAAATGACGATTTTCCCTATTAAAATGGCATACGTTCCATCATTTTCCCATAGTTTCCCTATGAAAATGGCGATTTTTCCGTGGGCATCCCGGAAGTTACCACTGGCCCCTGGCCGTCTCCCATGGCGGTCGCCTTCTCCGTGACGGAGTCAGGAGTGGCTCCAGCCAGCACCATCGACATGCACACGGACAAGGACAGCGGAGACACGAGCACATTCCTCGGAGAGGCCCTGGACGTTTTAAAAGGGGACCGTTGGATGGGGATAAAACAAGTTAAACCATGGGGATTCGGGATATGTAATTGTATTAGCGTATATTCAGAAACAATATTATACACATAGATGTATTAATATTGAACTTTATGTTTATGCACTATTATTATCATTTTGCAGGGAGAACTGTGGACAACTAGTGGGTAACATTTCACTAAAAGTGGTGATTTAACCAACAATACGTGGTTTGTCCAACAACCAATGGGGTTCCGGGGTTCCCCCATGTTTGGTAATTTCAATGTCATGGTAAATGAAAAATGTTTATTGTTGTTTAGATCTTAAACCACTCGATATGTTTTACTGTAGGTACTTATATAATCTTATACCCTAAGCCTATGGTTTATCATCATTTTCCATCATTTTCCCATTTTAAAATGACGGTTTTCCCTATTAAAATGGCTATTTAAGAGTCTACCTTTGGATGATCTTGGCAATGTTAGAAACCGCCCCCATTTCCATGTCAAATAAGCATCCTCAGGCTTGATGAACATTTCTTGATAAAATCGCAGGTATGCAAATTTAGGTACCATTTGTTTCTATTCTCGAGTATCCACTTGCACATGAAACTCTATATATATATATACATATATGTACATATATTATACATATATATATAATTGTGTATATATATAATTGTATATATATATAATTATATATATAATTATATATATAATTAAATATATATATATACATAGTCTCTACGGACCATAGTTCTTGTGTACTAGATTTTCTGTCTGATGCTCCCTCGCAATCGCTATACTACGAAGCTGCTGCCATCCGAAGGGTCCAAAGTTGGAAAAACAATGCGGAATTGTACATGCTCATACGAGTAGCTATTTCAACTGATACCATCTTGAAAAAAAGGTTCATGCTCAAAGGGCTATCAGATTCCTCCCATCCGTAGATAAACGGACAAATCAATATAAAAAAGTACCCTCTGGTAAACTAACAGAGCTACTAGTATGGAAAATAGCCCATTTTTATAGTATTTTCTAGCTTATGTACCTACAAAAGGGTGACATGTTTACTTCGCAAACGGTTTTCACGGTGAGTTTTTAAAAGAACCCAGCATCTCGGATTGCGTCTTCGACAGATATCTGAAGAGCTCGAGGCCAAAAGTGTTCAGCACTTTCGCCAGCGCCATGGCGCCGGGTTGTGGCGCCTTTTTTCTCGGATGAAACGAGCCGGCAACAGCTTTGGTAAAGCCGTCATGGAAGGAAGCATGATCAGTTTAGATTGTAACTTATATATATATATATGATTATATATATATTTGATTATATATATATGATTATATATATATGATTATATATATATTTGATTATATATATATATGATTATATATATATGATTATATATATATTTGATTATATATATATAGAGTATATATGTGTATATATATAGTATATTTGTACATGTAGATAGCGCTTTAATCTACTAGAACAAAATCCTATATAACATATTCTGAATCAATGATTCATATCTAAATTGGTTGATTGCAAAGATTATAAACCATTTCTACTTGCTTCACCACGCTTGGTGTTCCACACTGATTCACCGTTCACTTCACCGTTCGCCTCCAGATTTCTGCTTCATGGCATCATTCGGGTCCGGCGGGGCTCGGTTCTTCTTGATATGCTGAGTTAAGTGTTGGCTAGTGGTAGCTCGTGGTGTGGTTGGTGGTTGGGGATATAACCCATTAAACATAAAATAAACATGTAAAAAGGGTGGGTTATAGTGGGTATTTAAGCTCAACAAATTGGGATTGACCCTGTAGTAATTTCAAATCACCATGGCAAATGATCAAACAACCCATTTATAGATGTACCCATTGAAAACGATGTTTGCTTTCAATAGCTGTATGTGCAATTATGACAGGCTACTCTACTTGTTGGTTTTTGACCTCCATTTTCATCGAACATCAACAGTAGCAGCTGCGGATGGTTTGCGATTTCTGCCATTGGGTGGTATGTTTGCTATCAAAATTACATTGAAGCTTCCCTGACTTTATATAAACTTCAGAAACGATCAATGTAAGATGTGGTGGTTTCTGCATGTGACATGTTGGCATGTGTTTGTTTGTTTGTTTGTTTGTTTGTTTGTTTGTTTGTTGAAAACAGCAGCACCTCTAAAGTGTGAACCAAAATTCTGACACACGTGGGTCGGTGGGTCGATTCAATTCCCCTCTTTCAAGAAAGTGCTTGTTTTTGTGACCATCATCCCTAGTACATACAGTAGATCTATCAAAATAGTAATAGTGAAAACACTGATACTAAGAACAACAATGGAGTAATAATAGCACCACGAAGGATATCGCTAACCGCAATAGTATATAATAGATAGTACTACAATCAAACGGAAGAATTTCTGCATCAGTTTTTTGAAGGGTTTAATTGTCCATGTGTATCCCATTATAATATATTACAATCCCATTATTTGCAGTGCTACCTAGGGGTTACCAACTGTTGCAAGATTTCCATCGTGGTCATGAAAATCCTCATCAATAACAACAAGAATGGTTATAAGATATTATACTTATATTATGGTTATACGTATTATCATACGTAGTTATGTAATATTACGTAATTATAGTTATAACAACCAGATCCGTCTATTATAGCTGTAACATGTTATAACATGTTACCTACCCGCCACAGGTCAACTTCCACAGCCCACTGTCCGAGTAGTGCCAACCAATGAGGAAAAACACGGGATCTTCAGCCAAACGTCTCAGCCTGAGCAGATCCAAATTTCGGTGTATCGGAAAATGGAAAAATTCTAATTCCCATATATTGGTATTAAGGGATGGATAATATTAATGATAATATTAATGAGAATAAATGATAATAAATGATAATGACTGAATATAACTGAATACAACACTGATAATAATAGGGATAATAAATGATAAAACACCTAGCAATCTCAATAGTGACAATAAATGATAATAATTAATAATGATTACAGTAACCAGTGGATGAAATGGGGTTTCTCAATTTTCAGACAAACCCATATAGTAGCACTTTGAGTAAGCATGGAGGAAAAAAAAAAACATCCGCTTTTGAAGATTCTGTTCAGCTGGTCAACTCCCAGAAAAATGATGATGTGATGCGGTTCGAAACTTTACTGGATGGCTGTTGAAAAATAGGGAGATTCACAGCGCCCGTAACGGTTACCAGGTGAAAAGATGCGAGTCATGTTCCATCATCCTGCCATTTTCAATGGCATGAAAGCACCGATCAAAGCCTTAAGCGTCCCTTGCAGGAGTCCACCAACAAAAGATCTTCAATGTCAGTCAAAGCCAACAAGATCCACAAACATTATACTTTCCCATGAAAAAAATCTCATTAAGTGTACACTAAAACATTTCGTACACGTACACCAGAACCTTGACACCTGGCGTCCCTTTGGCTTACCCTCCGGTGTCACCCCATTAAACATGGCTTGGAAATCCTGAACTAAATGGAGGGATATAGCTCGGAAAATGCTCTATAAATGAAAGTTTTATAGCTGGGAACACATCATATTGCAAATGGTAGATTTTCCAGCAAACCATGTTTGACGATACCGGAGTATAATGAAGTGTGTATATATATAATAAATATGTATATATATATATAATAAATATGTGTATATATATATATTATATTATATATATATATTAATATAATATTATATTATATTATATTATATATATATATATTAATATAATATAATATTATATTATATTATATTATATTATATATATATATATTATATTATACATATATATATTATATATATATGATTATATATGTATAGTATATTATATATATATAGTTCGGAAGAAACCTATTTGACCCGACATGACCCCTGCTGTAATTTGGGACTAGCATGTCTTTGCGCGCGGCGCTTAGCCCCCGGCGTGCCGATGATGTACCAAGGCCTTGGCTACGAGGTGAGGATGGCTAGAAAAACCATGGAAAAAATGTGATTTAACAACCAGAAATTAGGGAATTTATGGGGGGGAATTTAAAAAAAAGGCTGATGGGCTGATGTGTGATAGCTAGATATAGCTAGGTTGACTTATAATTTGGTTTCTAAGGAACTTTTTGGTGGAGATAAAATGATATAACTAAAGTTGATGAGTGTATAAACTAACTTATGGACCGCAGTAACCTCACCTTGTAGCAACCGTTCTGAAGGTTGGTTTAATATAAGCCTGTTGAATATGGATATCCAGAGTGTAAATGATGATGGTGAAACATGGCGGCTTAACCAACAAAACCAACCGCCAAAACGGGAATGCAATGGGAAGGTGCCCCGTTACGGGTTTCAGAACAGCATATCTTTTGGGTTGCTATAAATCAAACATATTGGATACTGAAAATGGCTGTACTCAAATAGTGGTAGTGGCTTTGGTACCTCGAAATTTCGGGGGACCCGAATTCCATGGTTTAGAACCGTTGACAGAAAACTGCTTAGGAAATGTATCCTAATGTATAGCAGCCCTCAAATAGGTGCAAATTATGTGTTGGTGGTGCAATAACCATCTTGAAAAATATGAAAATCAATGGGAAGGATGACATCCCATATATGAAATGGAACATTCCAAATTCATGTCATGTTCCAAACCACCAACCAGAAATAACTATCAATAATCATCCCAGCAACCCCCAGCAACCCATCCATTCCCTGCGTAAAATGCACCAGTAAGATAATATATTCACATAAATCACATAAATATTCACATAATTAATCATATCTGGTTGGTGGTATACCTACCCCTCTGAAAAATGATGGAGTGAAAGTCAGTTGGGATGAAGACATTCCTAGCAAGTATATGTATTCACTGCTGAAAAGATTGCTGCCAGGCGACAGCCAATGGGTGCTAGGAGACGTCAAACCCAGATGGAGGTCGTTGGACTGGCAATCCGGATGGCTTGGGGTTGGGGTACCAGTGGCAGGGATACCCTGCATCTTTCTGTTGTGGCTTTTTAGCTGGTTGGCCTTGGTTAGCATATACATATACATACATATACATATACATACATATACATACATATACATACATATACATACATATACATGCATATACATACATATACATACTGTACACATATATATATATACATATGTATGTATATGTACATATCTATACATATATATGTATATATATATATACATATATATGTATGTATTATATAACATATATATATATATACATATACATATTACTACAGTATATGTAGCAAAAGATTATAGTACGAAGGTAACGAAGGTAGCTCATTTCAAGGCCTTGGGAAACTTGCTGGGCAACTGCCAGGGTGCTTCAGCCATTTCGCCCATGGCTTAAACTTGTTGGTTGATCAATCAATATGGCCCCTGATTTGTTGAGTAGAGTATATTCAAAAGCTGATCAGAATGGCAGAAAAACAAGGTGTCAAAATTGAAAACATAGTTCAATAGCCTCCACCAGTTTCTTTCATGCAGGTGCCCTGAAAATCCCATCCTTGAGGGCTGGTGTAGCATCAGGGAAAGGGAGAACAGCAGGGCACGCCACAAATCGGTAATTTTTCTAGCCTCATTTCATTAGAATATCATAGGGTATAGATATAATGGGGATGTGTATATACAATCAACAATATGATATAATATGAATTATATAATAAGAACTATACAATATGAACGTGTATATATATATATATATCATGAACACATTGTCCCGCGGAACTCTGCTTATTTGTTGATCAAATCTCTCGCTTCCGACATTGTGAAATCTGTCAAATCATCAGAAGCAATTTATCATTACAGTATCCATTTATTGTCACGTAGTTGGGAAACTTTGGGAGGTCCTGTGCTCCCGATTTCATAGGGGGAATGGAATGGGGTTACATGTTAATAGCATATTATATAAACATGTATAAACATCTTTCACTCTGTGGATCCTAATTAATGGGGTACTGCCCCTTTTTTTTCATACCTAATTATAACCCAGAGTTTACAGTATAGTACATAGATCCAACACCAACCCCGGCCGTGTGGGGCACATTCAACACCAGCAGCGACAGGGGCCACTCGGACACCAGCACGGGCCCAAAAGCGTCGCCAGCCTGGCTGCCGCGCTTTGGAGTGGATGTACGTGTATGAAGCAATGTGGCAGTG